ATATATATATATATATATAATTAACCCTTCCCACACTCTTGCAATATTCTAAACAATGTTTCTAAACTCTAAATGCTCTAAAAGAGCACAGAATGTCATGATTTCAGCTCCCTGCCTCGTCTTGCTCTTTGCCACCTGCGAGCGCTCTTGGCCACGCCCACTTCACCGCTCTTCACGGAGAACAGCTGATCAGCTGCAGCAGGAAGCTAATCCTGCAGTTTGGGCTGCACAAAGGTGCAGCAGGTGCGAAATGATTTAAAATAATTTATTTTAAATAAGAAATCCATGCAGATTGTGCAGCTCATCCATCAGTCAGCAATTTGTGTGTCATGTCCAATCTTATTTTGAAAAACCGCAATAGAGCGAGTCCGCAATAAACGACCCGTGAAGTAGCGAGGGACTACTGTATACCAAAATAGGAACAACTCCATCATTTTTCAGGATATTATCAAAAGAAGGCACATGTGCTAATTTATGTTTTCACAGGGTCTTCAAAATTGTCAGTTTTGTCCATTAATCTTGAAGGGTAATGTTACTATTGCCTTTTCTGTTTAATTATTGAAAACTACTAATGTTGTCAACAATAACAGATCTGTTCCTTTGTCAGAAGTCAAACTTTACTGCCGCTGGTTGTTTCAGCTCGGGTCAGCAGGTCACCGAGGCTGTGACGGTCCAGGTCGGCCATGCAGAGACCCTCTTGCCACTTCTCACCCTCCTGGGTTTCTTCAAGGACACCGTTCCGCTGAAGTCGTCAAACTACGCCTACCAGACCCAGCGCTCCTTCCGCACCAGCCTCATGTTACCGTACGCCGCCAACTTTGTCCTGGCGCTGTACGACTGCGGAGGAGGCGACGTCAGGCTGCAGCCACTGCTCAACGAGAAGCCCGTGACCTTCCCCGGTTTGGCTGACCAGCACATGCCACGTTATCAAGATGTCAGAAAGCACTACGGGGATCTGCTCAGTGGCTGTGACTTTGAGACTGAATGCCAGCTGTTCAAAAAAACACCTGAACTTTAGACAGAGTGAAGCTTTAAGAAAGGAAGGTCATTGATTGGCTTGTTATGGAACACCTGCTTCTGTCATGTAAAACTTTATTGTATCACAACTTTATTACCTGAATACTGCAATAAGTATTTTAACTCCTGCTGTCTCATGCTTTGAATCAGTGGCTGGACTGACACCAAGGATCTCAGTTGAGAAGTTAAACAGATTATTTTGTCTTTACAGCATCCTCACTGCTATAATTATTTTATGTAATAACCAACATAGAGCATCCTTTTTATGTGATCAGTGTTCTATTGTAGTGCCTTTGGCGGTGGGGGTTAGTTTGTTTCCCCAAAAAGCATCAAATCACCAAAATTATTTTGCTGCGAGTTGTGTCACATTTGATTTATTGACAGCGGGTCAGGTGAATGTAAAATGATTTCACCAGGTAATATTTTTTAACTTATTTTATTCAAAACCCGACTTGTTTTTCACGTTTTATGTTTATTATCATTTACTGCCTTTTAGACACTTAAAAATCAAGGCACCACAGTAAATGACATCTTAGATCTAAATGATATATTTCCTCATGTGAAGATGTTTGTCTGTGTTCATTGACATTTTATATTCACACAGCTGAAGGTACTGATTTGTAAACTAAAAGAACTGCAGATTTTATCCACTGAGAAATTTATTTTTGGAATTTGACATTTTTAAATAAATTGCCAAACACTACTACTAAATGGTTTGAAAGTGCTTGGATTGTTCCCACAACCAAATGCTGTCGTTTGTGTGGCTGTCAAATGTTGCATGAAGAAGTGAAAAGGGCAATGGTGTTCTTGCGGATTGGCCTGTGTGTGTTTGTCATGCTAGCAACATATCTCAAGAACTTCAGGGCAAATTTTAGTGAAACTCTCAGAATGTAATCATTAGATATGCATCCATAAATACGTAAATAACTTTTGAAGTCAATCCAATTCAAGATGCTCACCACAGCTAATCAGCTTTTAATAACACAAACTTACTCAAACTCAACTAATTTTACAGATATTTAGCTAAAAGTTGGTGTGGAAGTAGTTGAGAGTCATCCACAATTTATACTCTGAGCACCAACTGATCACATGACATCTATTCTCAAAATTTTAATACATTTTAGTCACTTTTATCTAACTATTAGCAAAAAACATCAAACAAATTAATGTTTTTTCATGACACTTTTAAAACATTTAATTGGATCCACATTTACAGCCTATTTAATTTTTGAGTCATCCCAATTCAAGATGGCCACCGCGGCCAACTGATATTAGAAAACACACAAATGGCATTACCTCAGTTAATTTTACAGATATTTAGATTAAACTTGCCGTGCTTGTAACTGTGACTAATTCACAACACATACTCTGATAGCACGTGTTATTTGTTTAAAACATTGGCATCAACTGTTGCACTCAATTCCGTTTGACTGTTAGCAAAATATCTCTTGAACCAGTGGGCGTATTAAAAGAAAACTCAGTATGTAGTTTCAGCTATACATGTAGAGCTGATAAATGTTTGGAGTCGTTCTCAATTTAGGATGGCCACCACCGCTAATTGACTTTAGCCATCACAGAAATGGCTACGACCGTAAGATTTACAGACATGGAGCTCAACTTTGATGTGGCTGAGCAGCATAAATTGACTGCGGGTGATATACGGTCCTTCAAGGAATGTGTGTGTCAGATCTGACTACATCGACACGAAAATGTTTGTGTTCTATGAATGCAACAAATCAACAGCTGTTGCATGAAGTCAGAATATTTCCCTCTCACTCCTCCACACATCCTTCCAAAGTATCTCACTCTATAACACACCCAAAGGCAAGCAGCCCTCATTAAAGTGCCCATTAAGTCCACACAATAGCAATTTCATGAATAAATAAAAGACATGCTCATATGCCTTTTATTATTACACTCAATAAACCGTTTGTCTGATTGGTTAACTGCCTCTTAACCACAGTTAAACTTAACCCCAGAGGGTTATATGTTTTTTTTCTTTTTGTGTGTTGTGTTTTTGAGTTTACACAGTTAACATTTCTGTTCCTTTTTTTGTTGCTGTTGTTGCCTTTTGTTGCTAGATGGCAGTGCAGAGCACGAGAAACTGTGAGGAAGGAATTCAGAGTGAGTTCAGTTTATTTATGTAGCGCCAAGTGACAAGAGAAGTTGTCTCAGGGCACTGAACAGAAGCATTCATAAACATAAAGTCAATTAGTAAAGGTTATCTACCTAAAGAAGTCAGCAGATTGTGTCGAATCGTCACTTTGTCACTGTCTCCCATCCTGAGTAAAATCCAAAAGAAGAATACAATAAATATATTCTGTAACAGAGTTTAGTATAATGGCACAGTCACAGCAATTTATATGTCTAGACTGGACTATTGCAATGGTTTATTATCTGGGTGTCTAAATACTTTTCTTTCTTTTTTTTTTACAATTTGTACATTTTTTTGTCCTTTTTTAGTCCACATTTTATTCTCTTTAGATATTTTATATTGTAGCACTTTGAGATTGTAAAATGTAAAGTGCAGTACAAATTGAATAAATTATTATTATTATTACTTCTGTAAAAAGTCTTCAGTTAATCCAAAATGCTGCTGCCAGAATCTTAACTGGAGTTATTAGGAGTGATCATATTTCTCCAGTTTTAGCTTTTCTCCAATGGCTCCCTGTCAAGTCCAGAATTGAATTCAAAATCTTTCTTCTAATCTACAAAGCTCTCAACAACCTAGCTCCATCTTATAGGTCTTTCAGTTATCAGGCTCCTCTCTTGTGGAACCAACTTCCAGTTTCTGTGTGTAGAGCTGACACACTTTACAAAAAGGTACACAAAATTTGATTAACTTCTAAGGAACGCCTTAGGAACGAATCAGGAGCTAATGGGTAGTTGCCCGTTACTTACTGGGGAACACACAACCAAGCCTTATTAGGGGACTACTGGTTAGTTACCTTGTAAATGAAGAGGAACTAATCAGGAGCTACTGAGTAGTTCACCAATAGGTTTACAAAAGAGAAAATCCAATAAAATCAGTAATAGGTAGGAAACAGGTTTTTGATAATTACGAGCTGTGACCTCACTGGTGCAGGGTTTATTCAGAGCCCACGTGGAGAATTTCTCCTCTGTTTCTGTGGTAACAAACCAGTAATCCCCTAATAAGGCTTGGTTGTGTGTTCCCCAGTAAGCACTTTTTAACTACCCATTAGCTCCTGATTTGTTCCTCTTTGATTTTTTTGGTAACTACCCATTGATTCTTAATTGGTTCCTCCTCATTTACGAGGTAGTCCCCTAATAAGGTGTGACTGTGTGTCCCCCAGTAAGTACTGGTTAACTACCCATTATTCCCTGATTTGTTCCTGAGGCGTTCCCTAGAAGGTAAACAAATTTTGTGTACCTTATTGTAAAGTGTTATCGCTGACACATTGTCCAGTTTTAAGACTGGGCTTAAGACTTTCCTTTTTGATAAATCCTATAGTTAGGGTTGACTTGTTATGCTGCTATAGGCTTAGACTACTGGAGGACATCCATCCATCCATCCATTATCTTTTACCCGCTTCTTCCATTTTTGGGTCACGGGGGTCGCCGGTGCCCATGTCCGGCAATCACTGTGCGAGGGGCGGGGTACACCCTGGACGGGTCTCCAGTCCATCACAGAGACACATACACATAGAGACAAACAACCATTCACTCTCTCACTCACACCTAGAGACAATTTAGAGTTACCAACCAGCCTAACATGCATGTTTTTGGTCTGTGGGAAGAAACTGGAGTACCCGGAGAAAACACACGCACGCACGGAGAGAACATGCAAACTCCACCCAGAAAGGCCCCCAGACCGGGATTTGAACCGGGGACCTGCTCGCTGAGAGGCAGCAGCTCTGCTAGTTTCTTCCTCATGAGGGAGTTTTTCCTTTCCACTGTCGCCTTCATGCTTGCTCAAGATGAAAGTCAGTTTTTTTATACTCAAAGCAGTCTGCTCCTCAGATAAACACTGTTAACTTGTATTTTTTATACATGAATGTTTCTGTTCAGTGCCCTGAGACGACTTCTGTTGTGACTTGGCGCTAAATAAACTGAACTGAATTTACTTCAAGTTTTACAATCGTCTCCTATTTCATTCCCACCACCACAGCAGTGCCTTTCAAGTTCATCCTGTTCTGACAGTTTGTTTTATCATAGCTTGAACTCTTAACAGTTGTTCTTCTTTGTGCATTTTTCCGTGTCAACATGCAAATCTGTCTTTCAATGGAGCATCTTGGATTTTCTTGTTTGTTTTTTGACAGTATTCAATCGATTTACTGGTGATTCAAGTAATACATATGACAAATTTGTTAACTATTTAACTTCCGAGAATCGAGACTGTGAAGATGAGGGGAAAAGGGTGTTTAAAAGTACATAAAAAGAAAGAAAACTTTATTTTGGCTTTTAAAAAAAACTTTTTTCTGCTTTGTCATAGTTGTAAAAAAAAATGTCCCTTTCACAAATACCTGATCTGTATCTTTGTGGTACAAACGTACCTGTAAAGAATGTGGACTTACATAACTCTTTCTATTCAAATTAAGCAAAGAAATGTATGTTACCTCATGCTAGTCATGGTTTTAATCATCTGGTTCAGCAGGTTATGGCTGTTATGTTGATCTAAGGTAATTTTGGAAAAGAGTCTACGAGAACAGCATACAGTAAACAGCAAAAAGGAGCTGCATCCTGTTCCCTGACGTGTTCAGTTGTCTGGATAAGGTAGTTTCAGAGAACAAGTGAGAACAATCCAAATGATGGCACAATCCAAGTAAAACCTCTTCAGGATTTTTTAGTCAATTATTAGTGCTAGCACACTTTGTAATATCATTTTTATTCAGCAGAACTGCTTGGACATAGACAAAGAACATAGGACACTTTTTGAGGTCCTTTGAAATGGAACAGGTGTGTGTATATATATATATATATATATATATATATATATACTTTTTTTTTTTTCAGGCTTACGTAAAAATAAATAAATAAACCCCCATCATTAAGGAGGTTAAATGCTACCAGCCCAGTGCACAACAAAATCTGTTCAGGTTGAAGAAATTCAACACCGTTGCGATAATCTCCAAATAACAAAGAACAGAAACTGTCTTCACTTACCAAAAAGAACAACGAGTACTTTTTTCTTTTTGTTAGCAACTGAACGTTAGAACAAGGATCTGAATGAGTCTGCCATCAACAATATGGTTGTGTAACCGACTCTGACCTAATCTTGTTTTAACCAGTATGGAGGAGTGGAGTGTCAGTCCACAAATGTACAACTGCAGGTAATGATGCAAAACTACAACTGTGATTGCCTCTCGCCAAATAACTTAATTTATGATTGTGCCAGAATTGTCTGGGAGCAGAATTTAGG